TTGGTGGAATTAAAGGAACAGCTCTAAACTGGTTTAAATCGAGTTTTACCGATAGATTTGAGTTTGTTCACGTTCCTCATGCTCAAAGGTTACCTGTGGAGTACCACAGGGATCAGTGCTTGATAGTTTATTCTAATCCAGCTGGTTGCCAGAGTTTTACTCTTCGACCTATAGATGCAGGACTCACGCTGAGGTGATAGCTCTGTAGCGCTCCTGTCCAGCCGTGTCCCAGATCTGGGCCTTGATGGTCTTCCCCTCCACCTGGATGCTGCGCGTGGCGAACTCCACCCCGATGGTGCTCTTACTCTCCAGGTTGAACTCGTTGCGGGTGAAGCGGGACAGCAGGTTGCTCTTTCCGACCCCGGAGTCTCCGATCAGTACCACTACAAAGACGAAGCGACATGACATAAGGACTTTCAGTGACTGTAGAAAGCAGGAGGATCCAGAACCTTCACAGCTGATCCCATCAGCTCGATATTATCAACGGTTTAATCTGCAGGCTGATTTAATCCTATGTCTGACTTCAGGACAACGGATATCAGACATCATCATTTTTGGACTCTCTTCTTCTTCGATGTTGCTTTTTCTCCCTCCATTAAATGACAAACACACAAATATGAAACATACGCGTCTGGATTAAAACAGGAATAAAACCTTTATTAACAAACTAAACATGGATGATGAGGAGCAGAGCGAGAAAGCAGCAATTAATCCATCTGATTTCAGGGCTGTTCAACCAATAGGAATGACAGCGCTGCTTTACATCCAATCAGAAACCAGCTGCTGAGGAACATTTGGCCCAGATGGATAAAATGGCTGACAGAAGGACAGCTGCAGCTAATGACTACTAATAATACCTTTTATTGAAGAAAAATCTCAGAGTGCTACAGCTGCTTCCCTCATCAACAGTGGCGTGAACAGACTTCTGAAGGGCAGGAAAGAAAGGGCACATAGTGCATCCTCATCACTGCATCCTCACAACTGCATCACTGCATCCTCTCGCCACTGCATCCTCATCACTGCACCCTCACCACTGCATCACTGCATCCTCTCGCCACTGCATCACTGCATCCTCTCACCACTGCATCCTCATCACTGCATCCTCATCACCGCATCCTCGCCACTGCATCACCGCATCCCGCCACTGCATCCTCACCACTGTATCACTGCATCCTCACCACTGCATCACTGCATCCTCACCGCTGTATCACCGCATCCTCACCGCTGCATCACCGCATCCTCACCGCTGCATCACTGCATCCTCACCACTGCATCACTGCATCCTCGCCACTGCATCCTCACCGCTGTATCACCGCATCCTCACCGCTGCATCACCGCATCCTCACCGCTGCATCACTACATCCTCACCACTGCATCACTGCATCCTTGCCACTGCATCCTCACCACTGCATCACTGCATCCTCTTGCCACTGCATCCTCACCACTGCATCCTCTCGCCACTGCATCCTCACCACTGCATCACCGCATCCTCACCGCTGCATCACTACATCCTCACCACTGCATCACTGCATCCTCGCCACTGCATCCTCACCACTGCATCCTCACCACTGCATCACTGCATCCTCACCGCTGCATCACTACATCCTCACCACTGCATCACTGCATCCTCACCGCTGCATCACTACATCCTTGCCACTGCATCACTGCATCCTTGCCACTGCATCCTCACCACTGCATCACTACATCCTCACCACTGCATCACTGCATCCTTGCCACTGCATCCTCACCACTGCATCACTGCATCCTCTTGCCACTGCATCCTCACCCCTGCATCCT